TAACAACAACAATAAAAGGGCTGTTCTTTTTGACTTCATATTTGTGTGATTTTTTTTATTTGCCTCGTTCCTAGTTTTTTAAAAAAAGGTTAAGGTAAAGGTTCCCTTGCTCGAAAGCCAGTTGAGTCCGACTCTAGGGTTGCGGTGCTCATCTCCATTTCAAAGCTGAATAGCCAGCGCTGTCTGAAGACATTTCCGTGGTCATGTGGCCAACATGACTAAACACCAAGGCGCACGGAACGCTGTGACCTTCCCACCGAAGTGGTACCTATTTATCTACTTGCAATTTCTTGCTTTCGAACTGCTAGGTTGGCAGGAGCTGAAACTAGATACGGGAGCTCACTCCGTCATGCGGCAACTCGGGTCTTGAACTGCTGACCTACTGACCTTCCACAGCCTGCAGTTCAGCGTCTTAACCACTTGAGCCATCGCAGCTCCTATTAAAAGGTTACTTTTTCTAAAATGTTAAATTCCACACACCTTTTAACTTAGGTGACAACATCTGGATAACCCTTGTTTTCCATGTAGTGTGAAACAAGTATTTACAGCTGTCAAGATACTGAGTGAATTCGTAGATCCAGGTAGTCAGCTGCGTTGGTCTGAAGACCAACAAAGGTATCCCTAATAATAGCACTTCTGATATTTCCAGTAATTTATAGGTATACACTTTTTGAAAGATGTTAACTACTCTAGCCATATATTCTCTGCTCCATGCTTTTGAGACTGAGCAGGCTAGGACATCTAAATCAGTGTTTCCATCGGTCACAGATGGCAAATCCTGAAGCAGCTGCTACAACTTTTTGCCCTTCTGTTGCTGTGTCCCTTTCTCCCTGAGCACGTTTCCCTCAGCTAGTAACGAATATCAGTCCACCATTCCCATCTTACATGTGACTGGTGCAGACCCAGGTTTAGATACATGACACGTGTTCTTTGAGCACCCCTTTGTGTTCCAGATGCTGAACTATCCATGCGGAAGAAAGATTTGTGGTGCAATCTCAATGGTATAAATCTCCAACAAAAGTAATGGGTAATGCCGACACATGTGGCTTAATCCTAAATCAACAGTCTTCTGAAAGCAGTAAAGAGAAATTAGGGCTTGCATGTCAAATACTATATATTTTTATGAAATTGATCAGGATAGGTATTCGCTGCGTTCCCCTGCATAGATTTGTACATATACTGATAAAAGGATCAGTGCTGAAGCTGGTAAAATGGGGCATGGAAAATAGCCAGTGTAAAGCCACCTCACATGAAGTCAGACCATTGGCCTTCTAAGTTCGATATTGTCTATTCCAGTTTGGTGTAGTGGTTAAGTGTGCAGACTCTACTCTGGGAGAACCGGGTTTGATTCCCCACTCCTCCACTTGCACCTGGCTGGATGACCTTGGGCAAGCTGTAGTTCTGATAAGAGCTGTTCTTGAAAAAGAGCAGTTTTTTGTCAAGAGCTCTCTCAGCCCCACCTACCTCACAGGGTGTCTGTTGCGGGGAGGGGAAGGGAAAGGCGTTTGTAAGCCGCTCTGAGACACCTTTGGGTAGTGAAGGGCGGGATATAAATCCAATCCCTTCCAGTTTGGTGTAGTGGTTAAGTGCGCGGACTCTAATCTGGGAGAACCGGGTTTGATTCCCCACTCCTCCACTTGCACCTGGCTGGATGACCTTGGGCAAGCTATAATTCTGGCACAGCTGTTCTTGAAAAAGAGCAGTGTCTGTCAAGAGCTCTCTCAGCCCCACCTACCTCACAGGGTGTCTGTTGTGGGGAGGGGAAGGGAAAGGAGTTTGTAAGCCGCTCTGAGACTCCTTTGGGTAGTGAAGGGCGGGGTATAAATCCAAGCTCTTCTTCTTCTTCTACCTCACAGGGTGTCTGTTGTGGGGAGAGGAAGGGAAAGGAGCTTGTAAGCCGCTCTGAGACTCCTTTGGGTAGTGAAGGGCGGGGTATAAATCCAATCTCCTCTTCTTCTCTTCTTTTCAGGCTGGTGGCAACCCTCCAGAATCCTCCTAGGGTCATCTACTACCTGATCCTTTTAACTGGAGAAGCCAGGTACTGAACCTGGGATCTTTTGCTTGCAAAGCCCGTGTTCTGCCACTGAACCACAGATGCACCTGAAGGATTTTAGGTTTTTAATTTGTTAAAATTCTCTTGGTTGAACTCCACTGGCTTTGGGGAACACCTGGGTGGAATTCATTGGCTGAACCTATAATCAGGGCTAATTATTTTATGACAGTAAGGGAATATGAACAGACCTTTATCCAAGACTAAAGACATTTGTCAGATTAATATAAAAACATTGAGCCAAATCTGTAGTTTTGGATCCTTCATATCCTTTAGACCAAGGCTATTCTCCCTTCAGTGGGACTGTTGCATTCCTAGTTGGTAGTTTAATGAAATGAATAGAAAAGCAGTGGTTTCCTGTTAATCAAAACAACTGTAACCCTGACACCGGACCCTTGTGATTATTTTAGTGCCTATGAATGGTTGTTGTTCAGTCGCACAGTTGAGTCCGACTCTTCGCGACCCCATGGACCAGATCACGCCAGGCCTTCCTGTCTTCCGCCGTCCTCTGAAGTTTGCTCAATTTCATGTTCGTTGCATCTATGACACTGTCTAACCATCTCATCCTTCGCCATCCCCATCTTCTTTGACCTTCAATCTTTCCCAATGAATGGTTAGTGTCAGGAAAATACAAGTTGCATTCAATTATTTCAAAATTCAGAGGCTTTTATCCATTTTCTGCAAAGCTCGTTGTCATGGCAGCTAAAGGAGGATCCCCCCCCCACACCAAATAAGTTGAGCATGATAAGGGAAACAGACTTTGAAAATGATCCCAGAGACAGGGAATCTTGGGTGAGTAGAGCTTGGATGGAATAGATGAGTGAAATCTGGAACATTGCTTCTTTTGGGAGGCATCTACTTGCACTGAAGCTAGGAATCTTCCATTAAAAAAAAATGTCTCCTCCTTTAAGTAAAAACTTTCATCTCACAAATAAAAGTTTGTGTGTGTGTTTTTTTTAAAGGGGGTTATTCAGGGTAAAGCAGGGTATCTACTGGCTGCACCCTGGCTATGGCCTCGCTTTGTGTGTTGGCATTCTCAACGGGCTTGCATTCTGGAGATAAGAAATGGGACGTTATCGATTGTAAAAAGTATGAGCAGCATTTTTAAACTCCCCAGATCAGCTAAAATGGCAATGGTGTAGCTGGTGACAGATTGGTGAAGATGGGAACTGTTGCACACATTCAGCTTCGGATATCAGTCTTTATTTAACAATAGAAAAAGGCAGAAAAGGTGTATACTTCTATTACTCTTTTTTTTTTTTTAGAATGAGGCTTTTAAGAGGCACTGTATGTTGTGGTATTACATTAGATAACCCTTTTACTGTTGATCCTGTTGTCTTTGCACTTCATGTCCATTTCATTCTGTCACGGTCTCAATTCATATACATCCTCATATTCATCGGCAGTTTTGGAAGTTTTGCAGAAAGCTGACAGATCTGTGACGCTCCCTGATTCAATGGTGAATTGGTAATCCTTGAAGGAGCTCCACACTGCTCCAACTACAAGAATGGCCTTGACAAGCAATCTATATGTTTTATTCTCTGAATTTTCAATGCTTATTTTGGGCACCATAAAACATCCTGTATTCTGAAGTTGTTTTGCTCTCGCCCCTTTTTTAAGGGTCATGGGAAGTGGTCTCCTGTTGTAACGCAGAGAAACTAGAAATGCCATAGAAGTAAGAAAAGCCGAATTCACATTCTCAACCAAAAAGCCAGATTTTTATTATTAAGGGAGAAAGGAGAGAGAGACAGACCTACAGAACTCTAGGTGTTTAGCTTCCATTTGTTATATTTATTAGTGCTGTGAAGACTGATGACATGAGTTTATCAAGGTTGGGGTGGGGGCTCCATTCATTATGCACTCATGAATTTTACAATTTTGGAAGCAAAGCAAGAGCAAGTTTTCACTCTTACATTTCTGCTGGGAGTCTTCTATTTATTCATGATTTCAGAAATGTGTCTGGGAACCTCTGATTGTTTCCGAAAACCGTTCTGATTTACTATACAGCAGGCATTGAAACCATGATACAAAATTTATTTCATGCTAGAATTGTTTTGCATAACATTGTGCATGCATTTTACTCAGAAGTACTAAATTGCATACAATGCCATTGTCTTGTTTCTTAAACTTTGAGACCAGTTTATATTTGAGTAGTTTCCTGATTCTGCAGTTTCCTCTACTGCAAGTCTCAGCTGCTTTTTTTTTTAAACCCACCTTTTTGTTAAATTCATTACTGATTACTTAATATGAACAATTTGTCATGAAAGGTCTTCACATTGGAGCTATACACCAATAAAGTACAACATAACCAGAGCTGGAAAATAAATCTAAACCAGCTGTTACCATCAGGTCCAAGAGTGGTCCCATGTTTCACAAGCATGCCAACAAAAACAGACAAGAAAATAAGGCTGTTTGTACATTTTACACAGTTCTAGTTGAATGCAAAGTTCTTGATTTTCATGTCAGTGTGATGAATTTATGAAGGCATGGTCAATATGACCTGCCTGATTGTACTTTAAAAACCATTAATTCTTTTTTACCCTCTTGTATACAAAAAGAAGCAATCAATAGCAAAGGAATGTACGTTTTTAGAACATTTACATTTTGGCTACTACAATGTATGTAAAAGTAAAGAGCTTTGAAAGAAAATAGATCACTTTGCCTTTCCCCCCCTCCCTTTAAAGTTACTCATACAATTGCAGAGGTTTTTTTTTTCATGCAATTCATGCTATGGAACAGCAAAAAAATATCCTACCATTTGTTACATTTTGGCCATAGAAAAAGCCTGCATCTCTATTTATAACTCTGAAACCACACAGAATCATCCTGCAAATTTGCATGGAGTGAGATTACTTTGTCCAAATGAGGAGGTCTTCTATGCCCGCACAGTTCCACCCAGACGTCATTGTCCATCTCCTTCTCTCCATGTCAAGTCACTTTGACTGCCTCTGTTGGCATATATTTAGCAATGACAGGCCTTTCTTTGCAAAGATCTGCATGTAAAGAATATAATCAATACTTGAGCTTCTCTCCTGCGTTTTTCAAATCAAGCTGGGTGTTTTAAAGGAAGGAGGACTAAGGTAGAAAGAGCTACATGCAGCGGCAGCCAGTTTTTTTTCCTCCACCACCAGGGCTTTCTCCCATGCAGTCAGCCAGCCAGCTAGAGACCTCACTACAGTGTGTCTGAGTATTGCTTTCAACTTAGAATAGGTGCCCATGCAAAGTTTCATCCTACTGCACATGTTTTGCTCAAGCTTCTGCAGGGTTCCTATGGCTCAAAATTATCCTGAGAAAAGCAAAATCTTCAGTCGTTGGCAAGGTTCAACATCGGACGAAATGCCTAACCCTTTCCATAAAAGCTAGTGGATCCACCATTAGCCAGGAAACGGTTGTACCAGCATGATGCACCATTAGAGTAAACTACATGGTGCATCTACCTTATTGTCTTATGTACCAATATCATGCATTGTTATGGCCCACCAAAGCTACTAATGCCCACCTATAATCATTTCAGCTCTAAACAAAGAACATTATCAATGTAAGTCTTACTAGCGCCAGTACTAACACCATCCCCATGAGATGCTACCAAGAGACATGACATCTTCAAGCTTCATCATCTGCCTTATATGTGAAAATGCATAGGCTAATTAAAAAGAATTACTTTTTCTTGTCTCTTTTAGTATCATGATGATGTTGTTGTTGATGATGATGACTTAGACCATTCTCTGCTGCTGATCCATGCTACAAAATGGACAGGAGGGGAGACCAAGAATGTCTCGTTGGGCTAGCAGAACTGTAGGGTACAGACTTTGAGAATACTCCTACTGCTTTTCCACTTATGCAAGCTATGCTGTTAAGGCTCCATGACATTTCATAACCTTTGTTTAAAAGGGGGGGGGGAAATGCAGAAATATGGCATTGGATCAACAACAGAATGGTCAACAATGTAGGCCAGTTCAGTAGCATCCTCATGCTTTGACATGCCAAGAGTAGTATCTCTTGCAACATGGCCATGTGGAAAAACAGCGGGGATCACAAAATCATTTCATTCAGACAGACACATCCTATTGTAATGTAGGCAGTGTCCTAAACCACTTGTAATGAATACAGGCAAATCAGCATTCCCAAAACAGACCCCCTCCCCAGATGTCTTTTGTCTTAAAAAAGCATAAGCTAAAGGGTATTTGCTCTGTTGCTATAGAGATACTACTCAGTTTATAGCATTTTTGCATGCATTCTTTTCCTTTCCCCCTCTTTGCCAGTTTTTAGACATGCACAAAAAATAGCGCAGTAAGTTATAGACACAGTTACACAATCTACGAAATGAAATTCAGTTGGAACGCTTAAGATGCTCTCTATGTTTTTTTTTTCCCCAAACAGGCCAACAATATGCTGACTTTTATTATTTCTTTAGCCAGCTGGCCTTACTTTTCAGTCAACAGGCAGAGCCTGGTACTGCTGAGGTACATCGTGGGAACTGCGTATCGTTCACCCCCAAATGGTGCCATTTTCCAGCAGTTTCACAATGCACAGAAGCAAGAACCGTTAAAAGGCTCCAAGTTGAATGAAAATGGCCAACCTATCCAATACAGATATAAAACACTTTGCTACAAAGGTCAATTTTAGCAGATACTTTCACATGAAAGTACAGTGATCCTGCTCTTTCTTATCAATAATAATCTTTGAAATTATAATTGCATATGCACTATTTCTACGATTGGCATTAATCCTATATTTTCCCCATCATGCAACATAACATGAGGCTTCAGTAGAGTACTGTTCCGTGCCATTACAGACTTTGCAGTTGGTTAATATACAGTGTTACATTCTGTAGCTACAGGCCAAGATTCCCCCAACGCAGCATAAGTGGGAGCTACCCCATTCTTTCCGCTGACGAGCAATATTCCACTGAGCATTCAGCACTTGCTCACATGACGCTCCATGGGTACCCGGGAGCCTCGGCATGCATGCTGTAATGACCAGGGCATATGTATACTTAGCTGAAGTTACACACGGATTTTCATATGTTTCAGATATCCAAATGTGCACTGTTTAATCTCATTGGATATATTTTAAGAGACTTGTGTTGTTGTCATCGCTGGATTAACAGCACAGATAACCCATGGCCTGCTATTTTGAAGGGGGGGAAAAAGGTAACTTTTATTTGAATAAAGAGTGTGTCCAAAACTGTCATAAAAGCAGAGTCAAATTATTTAGAGAGATCAGCAACAGGCAATAGTAACAAAAGTTAATGATGGTAAATATAGATAATGATGGGAGGAAAAAAAAGGGGTAACATACTCCCTCCTCATGGGTGGTGGCCATTCCATTCATTTAGGCTGCCGCTTGTGCTGGAGTTTTAACTTGAGTGCTGTATAAAGAAAGAGGGGGGCCAAATAATGACTTTAATATGCCTGCTTCCTCCAAATAGCTGCTGTTAATGGACTATTCCAATAGACGTGTCCCCCACACGCCTTGCGAAGAAGCTGCAATGGTTTAAAATGCTGCTCACTGCAGGTACTTATTGAAAATAAGCAAACATGGAAGACCCAAATACTTTATGTGATAGAACATGATGTTGCTTTAGCTCTCTTCTTAATTCAGTGGTTCCCAAACTTGGCTACTGGTACCCTTAAGGGCACATGGGTACATACTAGGATACATGTTTTAAAAGCTTGTAATGATCCATTCTATTAGTAAAGGGCCAGTTTTCTCATAAATTCCCCTCTGGTGAAGATTGCTACCACCTCCAAAATTCTATTTAGCTGCACCTCTCCTTCTCTGCTGGCCACACAAGGAAATAGGATGAAAACGAAAAGAGTGGCAAAACCTAAATACTGAAATGTTCGTGGCAATAGGATCATATCACCCCAAGAACTGCAATGACAGTAAGGACGGGAGCTTCAGTATGAGCCACAATGAAGCTAAGGTAATGCACGCGTGAGCATGTTGTGGTTACACGTTACGCAGGGCTCTTTTTGTAGCAGGAGCTCCTTTGCATATTAGGCGACAGACCCCTAATGTAGCCAATCCTCCAAGCACTTACAGAGCATTTCTTATCGGGGCTACTGTCAGCTCTTGCAGGATTGGCTACATTAGGGGTCTGTCGCCTAATATGCAAAGGAGCTCCTGCTACAAAACGTTAGATTAAATTATCTGCAAGGGGTACACGAGTTAAAGCGCATGGGAACCACTGTGACTAGCCCCAAGCAACTGATTAGTAACTTACAACGGAGGCACCAGGTTATTTTTAGCACAGGAATCTAGTAACTCAAGACAAGCTTACTCCTTGCCAGTAAAAACAAACATGATTCATGTGGCACCTTGAAGGCTAACCAACTTCATTCCAGCATACGTTTTCACGGGCCACAACTCTTAAAGTTACTATCTACGTGATGTCAGGGACCTCATCTACATACCCTTTCTTATTCCTCCATCAGGCGGGCAGGGATATTCCCCGGTTGATAAGAGGAAGCAAGGTCCATATCTCTCCCGAGTGCCCGGACGGGTAAAGAGCAATCCCTCATCAGGTGACATAGCTTGGTCTATGTGGGGACAGTCTTCGTTTGCCAGCGCCGCTTTGGCCACCTCCCCATTCAGTTTCGAATCTTCAAACATACAAGCAGAAGGCTATTGAAACACTAAGAATGATGAAATCTCTTGGCAGGGTTTGACCGCTATGTTGGGATACACAGCAAGGGAAAAAAAGCAGCACATTTGTCCTGGACACGTTGGTAATGTGCCGTGGCGCCCAAAATAAACAGTTTTGTTTTTTAAAAAAGGGGGAAAAAGTGAAAGGGGGAAACAGAATGGTTAGCTTGTTAGACACAGGGTAGCATTGGCTCCTAGCTCTTTGAGCAGAAGTCTGCAATTAGATACATGGTTATATTTAGCATGACGTAAAATGGCACCCAAATTATTTGTTTCTCATGACCCTTCCTAGGACTCACAGCACTTTGGAGACTGGCACAGATAATGCTTTGGTTTGTGGTATCTGAGAATATGCTAGGTATGCCGATTCATGCCTTTTGCGATGCATGTCTTGGGAAATCATCCCTACAGAAGTTGCTTCGGATTTGTTTCCATTTTGAAATACACAAAACGGTGGCACACATTTTAGACAGACACATAGAGGACACGATGGAAATATGGCTGCACAACATGGATGAAAATCCATTTGCTGATGTTGTCTTTAACGACAATACTTTTTTTCCCCTTTGCCTTTTGCACAGACAGCACAGGGTGCCCAATGAGATTTGAAAACAAATGCACATTGCAAATGATGAAAATGGTGTGTTACATGTGTCCATTTTGATCCACATGTTTCCATGAGAACAGACATTTTTTTCTCTGTGTGACTTGCTTCACATTCTCAAAGCAATTTAAAGTGCTCTTCTAACATTTTAAAGTGCAAATTAGTATATTGAGAATATACTTGAAATATGGCACAGTTCAGTGGGAATATTTGGTCAAGGAAGAATCACCAAGCATTAAGGGAACCCATTTACAAGGACTATGGTTTTGTTTTTGTTTTGTTGCTGGATTCAGACCCTCGGTTGCACAATGCTTATTACATAAACACAGCTGGGTAGCCATGGCAGATGAATATACAGGTTAAACTTAAGGGACAGTGGATAGAGCAATTCTGTATTCTCATGAAATGTCTAAATGCTCATTCTGACATTCTGAAGACAGTTAGTAGTTTTCATTGACTCACTGAGTGATTTTTAAAATCAGTCCAATGTGGTGGAGGAAACCATGTAATCATCAAAGGTATTACGAAAGGAAAAATTAATATTTTTGGCTCTTCAGAATCTGTAAGGTATGATGGACATTTAAGCATTCTGCGATGTTTATGGATATGAACAGTACAGCAAGAATTTTTGCTAGGTCCCTTTCCCCCTTTGTTACAAACAGCTCTCAAACCAATACAAGGCAACTCTGCATTTTCCATTTGGTGAGGGGAGATGCCACTGGTATCTTGAAAAATAACTTTTTCTTCACGAATGTCTCCTAGCTGAGCATCTGCCATACAATCTGCATTTAGCATTTGCTCAGTTGTTTTACCAAACCCACACTGGAACAGAAAAAGATGCCGTTCAAAACCACATTCAAATACCCCAGGCCAACACCATATGGACTGCAGAGTCACCCCCGAATGGCCATAAAACGGCCATAAATCTATGCAGATGGCCACCTTAAAACCAAGAGATCAAACGAAATGAAAGCAAGCATGCAGTCTGGACACTGCCATAAAATGCGACACTCAATCAAAGTGAAAGTAGCATGCAATGTAGACAGGAATTTCTGTTCCAGTGTGGGTTTAGGGTTGCCAACCCCCCCCCCCGGTTTGCCAGGGGCCCCCCATTTTTGGGAGGGAGTTCTACCCGCCGCCAGCCAGATGGCCAGCGGGGGCAGCCCCACCCCCAACACCCACAGCCACCCCTCTCTCTCCCTTTAAGTGTGTGGAACCCGTGTTTCCTCCCAAGCCTGATCTCCGCTTGAGATCAGACTTGCAGGGAAATGCCAGCTTCTTGCACTTAAAAGGGAAACGCGGCTGCTCTTAAAGGGGAAACGCTGGCTCCTGCCCTTAAAAGGGAAACGCCGGCTCCTTTAAGTGCAGGAAACTGCAGTTTCTGGAGATCTGGCGCGTGGGCGGGTGGGGGTGGGGACGGTGGACGTCCTCAACGTGATGTCATCTCGTCGGGGATGCCCCGCCCCTCCAGGAACACCCCCAAAGTCCCCCGCTGGGGGTGGAAGATGGACTTGGCAACCCTATGTGGGTTTGGTATAACAGCGGAGCAAATGCTAGATGCAGACTGGGCTGTAGGCGGGAATTTCTGTTCCGGTGTGGGTTTGGTATAACAGCGGAGCAAATGCTAGATGCTGATTGGGCCTTTGTGACTGCCAGTCCCATGCAATCATTACTGCCTGTGGTGGGGACCAAATAGAGGAATCAGAGGAAGAGTTGTGAAATACTAACAACTGATTGTGCATCAATTCCACGTTCAAAGCGAGACTATCATGCAGACATTCCAAAGTAGTATTGTTTCACACATCTTTTTCCATCTTGTTTCCTCCAGGCAAAATACTTACTTTCCTAGAAAGGAAGGATTTTTGAAAAACTACAATGCTGAAGTATATCTTTATAAACACATGACACAAATTAACAAGATGGGTAGAGGGAGAAACGAGCTATGATTGTGTTTTTTTTCCAACACTCCTTTTTCAGGTTTAGGATCAGAAAGGAAAAAATAATAATATGGAAATGAAAATGTTGCATTGTGCTGTGTCTGTACAGCCTTATCAGGTCATGCTATCATGTGATTCTTAGTCTTCTATACCGAATACCTCTAATACAAGCAGGTTTAAGATGCTGTGCACTTGACAGGCCCAACAGCCTGATCTTATTAAGGCCAGCCTGTAACTGAACTCTGTGACATACAGAATCCAATTGAGAGTTATGCTGATCTCCATCCATCAATTGTACTTCTAATGTCCTGGCCCCACTGGTGGACCTCCTGAGGGCACCTGGTATTTTTGGCCACTGTGTGACAGAGTGTTGGACTGGATGAGCCTTTGGCCTGATCCAACATTGGTGTCTCTTATGTTCTTACGCATATCACCAATAAGAAAAGAGATAGTTAAGATAAGTCGTAGGGGTCAATACGGTTTTCAAAGTGAAATGTGTCTCTGGGCTTTTGTAGAATTTGTATGCTCATGAAGTTATTCCCCCAACTTAAGAAGGATATGGTATAGTTTATTGTCCTTTCAAAAAACCTTCATTTATGGGACACCCATAATTTCTGAGTGCTCTACAAAAGTAAATCACAATGCTCCAGAAACACATAATCCATAATTTTATCACAGATGATGTTTAAAGGTCAAGGTTCCCTTGCTCGAAAGCCAGCTGAATCCGACTCTAGGGTTGCGGTGCTCATCTCCGTTTCAAAGCCGAAGAGCCAGCGCTGTCTGAAGACGTTTCCGTGGCGCACCAAGGCGCACGGAACGCTGTTACCTTCCCACTGAAGTGGTACCTATTTATTTACTTGCAATTTCTTGCTTTCGAACTGCTAGGTTGGCAGGAGCTGGAACTAGAGACGGGAGCTCACTCCGTCATGCGGCACACTCGGGTCTCAAACTGCTGAACTACCGACCTTCCACAGCCTGCAGTTCAGCGTCTGAACCACTTGAGCCACCACAGCTCCTATCAGGTGATGTTTACCCACAGCTAAACACAACACTATAGGCAAAGAACTGAATACTACCGTACTGAGGTGAACATATCTAAAAAGCCTCTGGCTATCTTTAGCTTCCATACAGATGGGGAAAGTTTGATAGGAAAGCACAAACACTTGTACATTCCCACTATGCTTACATGTAGAGATGATGTGTCCATATGTATGGGTGATTCATCTGTTCCTTACTCCTCAAAATGGGAAGAGGAGATCATACAAATTAGCTAGGCACACAATCATTTCTCAAGTTAAACTGGAGGTATATTGGAGGATGTAACCATTCACTTTCCTCGTTAAACAAATAAAAAGGACTAGTTAGGTCAGGGGTGTCAAACATGCAGCCCGGGGGCCGGATCAGGCCCCTGGAGGGCCTCTATCGAGCCCGCAGTGGAACTGCCTGTCTTCTGCTTCTTCTTCTAGTTCTGCTGCTTCTGCATCACTGTAGGTTTGCAGCTTACAGATACACACCAGAACAGATTGCAACAGTGCAGACATTTTGATGCAATAGTTTAGAGCAAGAGATGTCAGTTATCAGACACTGTTAAATAAACAAAATATTGCAAGAGGGCTAATGTTTTAAGCATGTTTTTATTTTAAGTAAAAAAACCCACCTTTGTGGCCTTTATAAAGTTTATATCTCCGCTACCTGGCATTACACTTTATGACACACATGATCCGGCCCAACAAAGTCTCATTTATATCAGATCCGGCCCTCAAACAAATGAGTTTGACACCCCTGACCTAGGTAGATATATATATTCTAGGTCATTAGTTCTCCTTGCCTTGACCTTTGCTCATCCAGTCATAAACTGGCACATCTGGTAGCCTGCAAGTGAGTGCAGGTCACAATGGAGTTGCATCACCACTTTATGACACATAATGTGTACAACAGAAGCCTTCAACTCTGTGCAACGGTCAACTACAGATGAGTAATTTTCCTGTGATTACACACTACTTTGTAAATGGTTATCTATATGTTTTTTTAAAAAATCTGAGCTTAGCAGAGCTCCAAAGGGCAGAACTTCTCATCTCCCTTACAGAGGCACAGACTGGATGGTTTTAAACAAGGGTTAAACAGACTCACGGAGGATAGGTCCATCAATGATTACTAGCCATGATGGCTAAAGTGAATTGCTATAAACAGAGGCAGCAAACTTGTGAATGACTATGCTAGGAGGCAGCATCAGGGGAAGCATTTAATACCAGTTTGTCTGCCTTCCTGGGCAACTGTTTGGGTGCTAAGTGAATTAGGATGCTAGATGACATGGAACAGTAGTCTGATCTAGCAGGGCTCTTTTTATGTTCTTAGCTGTGCAAGGAATTTTTGGTTGGTATATATTTGGGTAGGTGTTGAGCAGGGCTATTTTGGG